ATTTTTTCCCAATATTTTAAAACAAAGCATAGGCTACTTCTGAGCCCTATTTCCTTCTTTCCAGAATATGTATTATAACATGATTGGCACCGTATTACAAAACAAATTATAAAAATAAGATACCTTTTGTGTTTTTAATTTACCCATGACTCAACATCATATATTTTTTTCTCCAGTCAATCAATGAACATCTGATGTACAAATAATCCGTAAGAATGATGGTTGCTTTTTGGTCCACACTAACACGAAGGACATATTGGTGCCTTTTATTTTGTAGTAATGCCTATATGCAGCTTATATGGAATTAATACTTTAGTTGTCTATGGGACGGAAATTCAAAGGGAAGGATAGGAGGAAAGATTCGGTTTAAAGGAGAAAAGGGGATCAAATAAGGGGAAAAGGGATGAACGGTAGAATGATAGAATGAAGAATGAAATAAGGAATGATTTCTTTTTAAATATAAAAGAACGAAGATATACACAAAAGAAGAGATCAACGCAATATTAAAACATGGAACAGCAAAATGAAAGAAAAATAAAAGTTTGGAACAAAGAATACACAAGGAAAGATAAGAGAAAAAATAAAATAAGAGGGGATAGGACTTGTACTGAAAAAAAAAAAAAAGATAGAAATTAATTTAAAACTCAATTATGGGCTTTGAATATGTGTTAATCACTGACAGTTATGGGCCTAGGTTTAAGCAATTCTTTCAACTTAATTATGTACACAAATCTGATGAGCCATCAAAAAGGATTTGAATTTACAACAAAATTAATCAAATTCTAGCGCAACACTGCAAAAGTAGGAAAATCTATCAACAAGATACTGCAAACAAACAAACAAGATTCTGATGAACACACTTCTAATGAAGTGATTTAAGACGCGTCAACACCAGTCTTATATCAAGTCACACTGCCTTCCTAATTACATGAGATAAATAAACCTGTAAGCCCATAGGTTAGTCATTGAAAACTTTATAAAACGTACAATTCTTATTGCGTCCAACTTTTACGATTGGGGAAATACTATGTACGAAGCCGATATCTGAGAACAAAGATGTGTCCTTGTATAGCTAAGACTTAGTCCTATGGAATCTGATTCGGTTCAGATAAACCATAGGTCCTATTTTCAGCATTTAATATTAAGTTTACCCATAGTTCTGATTTTATCCTGGAAATCAAAACCTACTTATAGTGCCTCAACAGTAAAGGCATGAAGATTAAGAACATCAACATCCAATCTTCAGTATTTTCTTTGTGTTTGTTGGGGGGGTTGTTGTGTGGGTGTGCGTGGACGTGTTCGTGTAGACCTCATCAGATTAATACCGTTATGTTGAAATTCATGAAAATGTAGGCCTTCGTTCAAAAGATGATTCAGAAACTAAATAATTATTAAGTCAAGGCAAACCATTTCGCGTTAATTTCCCTTCATTGCTACAGAATGACATAATGTCAATAGTCTGACCCCAAAAAGGCGTGTTTTAAATCATTTGACTTTTAACAATGAAATGGATATATAATTCACACAATCAAATACAGAATTATTTGCATACAGTCATGTACTCTAAACATGACTAAACAATTCTGGTTAAACGGATATTGATCATTTATCATACACAAGTAAATTGTATATGCACATGAACAACACAACTACAACTTGGTGCCACAAAGTTTCGTTATACACATGAACATAAAAGAAGTAAATCAACATCTTGATCGTCAAATCTCTGTAAATACTCATATTCTCAGTTGGTATAATAAGTTAATGATATATGAAGAAGAGTGAATCTCTATGTACGTCAATCACGTGTTTTCGCAAACCATTATCATGTTGGTTAATACCTTCAAGACAAACTTCGACTCAAAGCCTATTGTTTCTCATAATATTTATATCCCTCGTCTTCAACAAAGTCGTCTCTGCTGACACCGGTGCCGCCTACCACCTGTTTGTTGAGCTCACACACACCCTTGCCGATGTTAAATGACACGCATTCGTCTCGCTTGTTACACTCGGCACCGCATTTGACCAATGACAATCCATGTTTGGTTTTGATCACGTGATTTCGAAGGCGCCGTCCCTCGATCCGTTTGAAGAGGGAGGTCTTCTGGTGGACTATGTCTGCTTGTGAAGGTGTTGTAGGCAATGCCTCGTGAATTGTGGTAAAATCTGTGGAAAATAACCGAAATAAACATTTGATGTGACGTTTGACGATACCTTAATAACGCAGGTATATATCAAATACGATCGCAAAGCCTTTCAAAGAACGAACCTTGATCAAGTTCAATAGCCTTGGTCATCACCTTTTGAAAAGTTCGAGCATTACAGCGACGTATTTCCTATTCCAAACATGATTTCTTTGGGATATATGCAATAGTGTATTTTAATTGCCTTTGAGTTTATTTCTAGGAAGTCTTTTTGAACGTGTTATGAATTAATATAAAGTTTAAAGATGCGATGCTAGGCAAAGATTAACCCCTTTCAACCCACTTAAAGATTACGTAGGCATACACTTGACATAAAAAATACATGTAGCATAAGACTACACCTGACTGATTTTTTTAAAGGCCAAGTTGAAATTTCATGTAGCCTGTCGAATACCTTCCCACCGTCGTTCATATTAATAATTAGACAAATATCTATTTTTGAACAAAACTATACAAACTTCTAACTCAACATCTGTAAACGAGGATACAAAACAAAATGGCGAAAATTTGTGAGGCAGAAACGCTCCCTCGGCTAACTTTCCCACTGTCCCAATATATATGTATGTATATTGTATATTTTTGCTCCGTTTTCGTGCAATAGATGCCCCTCTTCGCCCACCCCCCCCCCCCCCCCCCATTTAGTGTACAGAAATATAACGGCTCTCCCTGATATTAAACCATACTTTGCTGGTTGCTGTCTGTACATGAAATGATGAAACAACGATGATGATGATAAATAACAATGATAATGAAAGTAATACATGTAATACTACAATTAATACTACTACTACTACTACTACTAATAAAATGATAATAATAGTACCAACTACGGTAATAATAATAATAATAATAATACTTCAACTAAAATTAATAATAATCATAATTAACAATAACAAAATGATACTAATTGTTATATACTAATGTTTCTAATAACTGTACTATCGCAACTTATAGTGTCTTATCTGGATTATTCTAATCTTTGATAATAATAACAATGATGATGATAATAATCATAATTTTGTTTACAGGAAAAGCCTTATCAGCTTCAGTGCTGTTCTGCCAGAGGGCACTGCAATTATTATTACACTGCGAATAGCCAGGTACACATTTACAGCTGGGTTGGAAGTGGCGAATGTGCGTTAATGTCTTGCCAAAGGACATTGGTGCCGGTCTGGGATTCGAACCCTAAATATGAGGAGTGAGAGTCAAGTGAATGAACCACTTGACCATGACACCTCTACATAATTTTGTGAATACTTACCTGGCGTAGGAGTCCGATATTTTGTAGTCGTTTCAGGAGTGCCCTGTTATCAAACAAAAATGTACCACTCTCTCCCGTCAGTATAATCAGATTATTTCATGAAATAACTTTCATCATTGTATTGTGAATACTTTATTTCATGAAAACGGGATAATATAGAATTGCATTCGTAACTTAGTAGGAAAATATGAAACAACCCAGTTACCATTTAAAGCAATGATCGATATTAAGTGTATCGTTTTAACATTCAACTAACTGTTATGAAACCTATTTCTGTTCTCAATCATAATCGATGTTTGATACTTTTATTTGTAAGTGAGAAAAAGTGAGAAAAATCTATGTCAAAAGTACATTGCATAAATATATAAAATGAAATGAATGAATGCATGAATGAATAAGTGATTAAGCGAATGACTAAAATAGAATGAATGAATTTTTATTTGAACGTTAAATCAGTTCAACTTGTCATGAAAACAAATATCTATAAAACAAATAAGTTAGTAAATTATTTAAATAACACCGAATTATATTCTTCCCAGCAAATGTGTGTATCAAGTATGTCATATGACACCGTTATAGACAACTCACACTTGTTGACCTTGTCGGCACGGTTGTTTCACCTCTGACACCTATGTTTGGAATAAGAATAGCATTAAAAAGACGAGCATTAAAAGATGCAATGCTAGGTAAAGACTAACCCTGTCCAACCCACTACAAGGTTACGTAGACCTACACTTGACATAGAAATACATATAGCATATCCCTATACCTGACCGATTTATTAAAGGCTAAGTTGAAATTTCATGTAGCCTTTTGTATAACGGCAACGGACTCCTTCAATATTTACATGACGGCAGACACGTGTATCTTAATGGGGCATGGAGGTTTTGATGCTGCGCCCCAAAGGTATCATTTATGGCCTCAATCCCGCCCTAGTGTTTGCCCCATTTTGATAATGATAAAACATTCAATTATTACACAAAAATATTCAAAATCTTAACTCGATATCTGTAAACGATGATACAACACAAAATGACGAACATTTCCGAAGAAGAAATGCTACCTCGGCTTACTGGCCCACTGCATCAAATACTTGTATGTTTATTGTACATTTCCTTCTCTGGGTTGCCAGTGTCGTGAGCATGAGGCCAGGTAATCCACACAAAATAACAATAATAACAACAACAACAACAACAATGATAATAATACTACTACTACTAATAAAATGATAATAGTTACATTTATTTAGCTTTTAATCATAATGTTTCTAATTTCTGTATGCCTACTCTAATAATCAATATTGTTTTTCTGGTTTGTCTGATCTTAAATAATACATGATAATAATCATAATAATCATAATTTTGTTTACGGGAAAAGCCTCATCAGCTTCAGTGCTGTTCTACCAAAGGGCCCTGCAATTATTATTACACTACGAATTGCCAGGTACCCATTTACAGCTGGGTTGGAAGTGGCGAATGTGCGTTTATGTCTTGCCAAAGGACATTGGTGCCGGACTGGGATTCGAACCCTAAACATAAGGAGTGAGAGTCAAGTGAATGAACCACTTTACCATGACACCTCTACATAATTTTGTGAATATTACCTGGCGTAGGAGTCCGTTTTTCTGTAGGTGTTTCAGGAGTGCCCTGTTATCAAACAGAAATGTACCACTCTCTCCCGTCAGTATAATAATAACAGGTTATTTCATGAAATAACTTTCATTATTTTATCGTGAATACTTTATTTCATGAAAACGGGGTAATATAGAATTACATACGTCTATGAAAATATGAAACGACCCGGTTACCTAGCAATAATCGATGTTTAATACTTTTATTTGTAAGTGAGAAAAAGAAAAATCTATGTCAAAATTACATTGCACAAATATATAAAAAGGAAATAAATGAATGCTTGAATGAATAAGTGATTAAGCGAGTGACTAAAATAGAATGAATGAATCTTAATTTGAACGTTAAATCGATTCATCATATTATGACAAAAAATTATCTATAAAACGAATGAGTTAGTAAATTATTTGAATAACACATAATCATATTCTTCCCAGTAAATGTGTGTATGTCCTATGACCCCGTTATGGATAACTCACACTTGTTGACCTTGTCGGAACGGTTGTTTCACCTCTGACACCTATGTTTGGAATAAGAATAGCATTAAAAAGACGAGCATTAAAAGATGCAATGCTAGGTAAAGACTAACCCCTTCCAACCCACTACAAGGTTACGTAGCCCTACACTTGGCATGGAAATACATATAGCATATCCCTAAACCTTAACGATTTATTAAAGGCTAAGTTGAAATTTCATGTAGCCTGTTGGATAATTCCATATTTATTTCTAATTAAATTACAATGCAACGGATTCCTTCAATATTTACAAAACGGCAGACTCGTGGTTTTTTTTAGGGGGCGAGGAGGTTTGGATGCTGCGCCCCAAAGGTATCATTTATGGCCCCAATCCCGCCCTAGTGTTTGCCCCATTTTGATAATGAGAACAAATTATATTATTGCACAAAATTATACAAATCTTAACTCAATATCTGTAAATGAGGATACAATACAAAATGACGAAAATGACGAAGTAGAAACGCTACCTCGGCTTACTGGCCCACTGCCCCCAAATGCTTGCATGTGTATTGTACATTTCCTACTCTGAATTGCCTGTGTCGTGAGCATGAGGCCAGGCTATCCTCACAAAATAACAACAGCAACAACTACAACAACAATGATGATAATAATACTACTAATAAAATGATAATAGTTACATTTATTAGCTCTTAATTATAATGCTTCTAATTTCTGTATGCCTACTATCATAACCAATAGTGTTTCATCTGGATTTGCTCTATCTTGAATAATAAAGGATAATAATGATAATAATCATGATTTTGTCTACCAAGAGAAGCCTCGTCAGATCCAGTGCTATTTTGCCAGAGAGCCTTGCAATTAGTATTTCTTTAGCGATCGCCAGGTACCCAATTAAACGGGGTAGGAAGTTGCAAATGCTGATCTTGCCAAAGAAAATTGGTGCCAGACTGGGATTCAAACCATGAACATTAGGATTGAGAGTCAAATGACTGAACCACTTTACCATGACACCTTCACATCAGTTTGTGAATACATGTACTTACTTGGCGTTGGAGTCCGTTCTTCTGTAGGCGTTTCACGGCTGGCCTGTTATCAAACAGAAATATACAATTCTTTTCATTCAGTATAATCATAATACATTAATTTATGAAATAACTAAAATTCTATATATGATATGTAGATTTCACGAAAAAGAGGATAATTCAGAATTACATGCATAACTAAGTAGAAGAATAAGAAACGATCCAGTAACCAAGCAATCAGTATCAAGTGTATCGTTTTATCATTCAACTTGGTTTATGAAACTTATTACTGTTCTAACTATCAACAACTAAATGAAATTAAATAAATGCATGAATGAATAGGTAATGAAGCGAGTGAGTAAAATAAAATAAATAAATTGTAAGACGAATTCAATTGTGATGTTATACAAAATTTCATCTGAAAAAAAATAGTTAGATATTTCTTCATATTACACTAAATTACAGTCTTTTGGGGAATGTTTGTATGTCACATGACCCCCTTATGGAGGATAACTCACACTTGTTAACGTTGTCGGCGCGGTTGTTTCATCTGTAACACCTGTGTATGGAATAAGAATAGCATTAAAAAGATGATCGAGGATTTAAACAATTTATTTTATAGGAGGGGAGGACAGGGGGCACGTGCCCCACCCCCCCCCCCCCGCCAAAAAAAAGATGTTATAATCAGCCCTAAATTCGCCCAAAATATACCGAAAAACAGGGGCGTGCCCCCCCCCCCCCAGCCCAAAAATAATATAACATAACATAACATAATATAATATGACGGTGCAAAATGTCAAATAAAAAAAAAAAATTACCCCCCCCCCAAAAAAAAGTGTCCTCTCACCCCCCCCCCCCCCCCCCCCCCCCCCCCCCCCCCCCCCATCCCGCTTATTCAGCGGCTGGCTGAGTCGTTGCGATTTTTGGGGGACAAAAAAAAATATATATATATATGTTCTCTTTCCCACACGGTGCCCCCCCCCCCCTCCCCGGCAAGAAATTCCTGGATTCGCGCCTGAACCAATAATCGACAAATCAGCTGGAGATGCAGCTTTTACCTCTCCTGCTGGCACACTCCGGAACAAGCTACGCCCTCAAATTAAAATCATCACCAACATGCCAACAGTAGAAACATTCAAACAGAGTTTGGAAACCTTCCTGTTCTAAAACCTTACGCATTCTTTTAACTTAAACTTTCACTGCTTGGTAACACTAACTCGTGGATGCCATCTTAGTGGAAAAGGTGCTGTATGAATTACAACTATATCATTATGAAACATGTAGAACACTTAGAAAACAGTGCCAATACATAGTTATGAATACATAACATGAACATTCACTTCTCTACGCATCCCCAAATAATAACAACTTGAATATATTTCGATTTTTGTTTCGCAGTTTCAGGTGATTGTTATGCAATTAATTTTGCAGTGGGATCAACGTTCATGATTTATTTCTCTTGAAAATTATGTAATTACTTGATTTATTGGATGCATTTTATATTAAAGCTCCTTGAAACGTTAAATGTTCATCCTTTTTTACTTTCATGCAATTACATATAAATAACAACATTTGTTTTAGGAGGAGCGCCGGGGCTTGGGGATTTGTGCATTTATTCTGCATTTGCCTCTCATAGATTAATATTTTTTCTAATGTTATGTTCAGGTGCAAGATTTTTTTTTGGTTCGAGGGGGTTGGGGGGAGGGGGGCTGATTTCCTGCCATTTCTAGAACCGCTACTGCTTACATTCATAATCAGCGTAGCCGTAGGTGTACTCCCCCGGGCACGTTGAACCCGCCGAGCATGAGACAGAGAAGGTACATGGATTGACAGTCTGGCAATACGGAGCCCACAGTGCCGTCTTGTCACTGTCATCACACAGGCTGTCCAGAGAGGGGTCATAAGCATCGCAAAAAGGGACCATCACACAAACTCCTTTGGTGATCCTGATAGTTGATCCTGGGTCACACTCCATCGTGATCTTTGGGGATCCACCTTCTTGACACTCTGTAACTGTATGCACAATGTAATACAAAGCGTAATTATGATGGTAAACAGATTTCCATCTTCACTTACAAAACATATAGGATATAACTTACATTTATTTCGTTAATATTAATTTATTTTTATTTACATAAAAATAAATTACATTATTAGAAAAGAAAAGTAATTCGAGAAAATTAGCGACAATATAAGATGGAATCATTTACGTTCTAGAAAAAAGATACGATTATTTGGAACTGTTTGGTGTTCACCCCGACGTAGAAAGAAATCGAGAAGTGCAATCTATTCACAAAATAATTCCAATGTTTACACCAAAAATAGACAACCGGTGAAGTGAGCCTAAGTTTATCGAGGTAAAGTAACGTGTATAGGACTATATCGGGTATTTAGTACACGTTTTGGCATAATGTGACGATAAAAATTGAAACAGGCAATATATTTATTCCAACTGATTTATTTAAATTTCAAGGGATTTCAAACTTCGTTGAAGGAAGAATTGGTAAATCGACATAAAAGCGTAGTGCCATCAGACGAGTAATGGAAATGTCTATACGATTTAAAGCTGATTCGGCTATTATTCTGACTAGAAGGTTTAAATTCACTAACATTCCGATTGTTAGTATTCTTATCAGCAGTTTAGAAATCGGAAAGATGATGCTTGTTTAGATTACCATATCTATTACAATTGCCATTTCTTCGAAAATCGAATCGCAGTCTGTTTTGTGCAGTGTGCAAAGTAAAATGGAATCTTAGTTTTAATTTAATTTTAATCTTAATTTTGAAATGATGAGGAGGGGTTTCAGTTTTGATGTTTATTATTTGATTTTTTTTCTGCACACAATAATGCTACTGAGACTTTTTTTTACATGTTTCATTTAGATGTGCACTTCAGAGGCTCAAAACAATGCGAAATTGCATTAAAATGAACGATTATGTTTTAAAAAACTATTTATAGGTTCCCAGTTTTTGTGAGTATTTTCATGTCAGAACAAAAATATGGCAAATTGAGGGAGATCGTTATAAAAAAAAAAGAAGGGGAAGAAAAAGTAGATATACATTTTATTAGGGCTAATGTACTTTACTACAAGGCCTAACTCATATGTTTGTATACTCTATTGAACAGCAAAGGGTTCGAGGTGTCTTTCAAGCACGCTTGCAGTTATCGTTTCTACCCCTATTTTTTCAGGATTTATAAAATGTATTAAATCGCTATTTCGTTAAAAAAAAAACTTGGTTTTACTTACCTCGGAGTTGCGCTGCTCTCTTCTACAAAAGAAATGAAATAAAATCACGTAAGAAGGCTATCATTTTGAAAACCTGCTGGGAAATAAAATAGGTAGTCTAAAAGTACCCAATTGTTATAGTTTGCGTCATAGTTTTGAATGAAAGGGTTATATGAATAAAAAACTTTACTACACGGTGGCTACTTTATTGACAACCGATCAGAAAGTTACCGCAGAACTATTGAAAAAATATATTAACACATCAAAAAATTGATAACGTAATCAATACTGATTTGTAGACTACTCCGTATATTGCCACAGGGACATGAAATATGAGAAATTCCTGGAAAGAAGAAAAAGATAAACGTGTTTTTCTTGGACTGTCGTGTAACTGTCCCACATGTTATTATTTTATGAGAGACGTACGTTGCATCAGTTAATTCCAAATTTAAAACCCGTGAAACCAACCCAGGGTTTTTTTCAGTTCGAGCACACCCACACCACCGCAAAAAAAGATTTGTTCTTCTTCTTCGATTTGTACTAATCCCCAAAACGTGAGGACCTTTTATCGACTTGTTAGACAACTTTGCAGTGAGAACTAGTGTGAAGAGTTGCTTCCAATTAAAGGGGTGGCTATATTATGTAATTCCTTATAGCATGTATTTCCCCTTTAAACATGCAAAGTAAGAATGTCACGATCACAATTTTGCACATTTAGAAAATGCATTTCATTGATATGTTCTATGGCTACATATAGATGGATGCAGGATTCATAAAGATATGGATGCACGAATAAGTTCATTATTTACCTGTCTATTCTGTCCTTTAAACATGGATGTTAAAGTGGGATTGTCACAATCACCAGAGGACGAAGATGAATCAGACTCTAAACGAATAAGATATATAGAACAATAATAAGGTTTTGATTGAGATAGCAGCTACTCTCGAAATGTACAGGAGTGGACGTCCTTCCTTTTGTTGTGTGTGTGTGTGAGTGTGGGGGGTCATATCAGGGATCACTTCGCCATGAGTAGAGTGGAATCAATCCTCAAAACTGAAAGTAAAATAGTGGAAAGCACGTTTCAAACATAAAGTTGGAGCGACTTGAACACCTTGCATGTTACTATCCTTATCATATGATCATTAATTCAAAGACTACTTTCGAGTATATTTGACGATAAGTTGGTCTGGATCGAGCCCCAAATGAAGTGATCCCTAAATATCGAGATATCTTCTATCAACTCGGTGGTTGATTGCAACTTTTAAGTTCTCTGCCATTATAGTACACTCTTGCACTGTCATTCCACGCCATGTCTTAACCCTAAAAAGGCCGGGCTATTTGAGGTCTTAGTACGGCCGGGGGGGGGGGGCATTATGGCCGCCCTCTTTAAGATCTCGGCCGCGAAGCGGCCGATCGCCGCAAAAATTTGCAAACATGTCATGTGAAATGTATAGAATAATATGATAATTTCAATTTTTTGAAAAATTCACTCATTTGCATATTTATGGTAATTTATGCAAATAAAGTCATAAAAATCACATTTTTACCCATAAATCATATATTATTCATATTTTCGCATTCTTTTTCACTACATATATTCATTAGACTATTCTGAATAATAATAAGACAAAAAATGGGAAGAGCCAGTTTATTCCTTATGTTATCCCTTGTTTAGATAATTTCTTATGTATTTCGTTGTTTTTTTAACTTTTTCATTTCTTACTACAATTCAACTATTTTGACTCCCCCAAAAACCACCTAATCTTTAAACAAGACCCAATAACCCATGTTTGATCTGTTTTTTTAGGAAAAATGACTTTTCCATATATTTTGTACACAAATCACGAAAATTAGCGATTTTCGGGCTGACATGCAAAGACAAAAGGTCACGTGACCTTGTAACCGTAGGTCCGATTTTCAAAAAAAATTCTTTTAAAAGTTGCGCAAGACTCAAAAGAAAAAAGTCAGCGAGCGGCAGGGTGCCATCCATATGCGTTCTTGAGCAATCGTAAAAATCGTGGAGGGGGAGGCATAATGCCCCCCCGGCTTTATTAGGGTTAATGCTCACCTCCCAGTTGGTTCTTGGTTTCCCTCTTGTTCTGGTACTTTCTATTTTTCCTTCCAATGAATCTTTGAAAAGACGCCAATGTCTTTTAATTTGACGAAAGTATTTCGCCTTTCTTTCTTTTACCATTCCTTTCAGGATATTTTGTTTTCCATTATATCCTCATAATATCTATGTACAGTATGTAAAGTATAATTGATTCTTAGTTTCCATTATATCCTCATCATTCCTATGTACATCTAAATTTAAAAAGATGTGATTTTCCT